TCTCTTCGTCTCTGACCCCCCCTCTCTCTCTTTCTCCCCATCTCTCTCTTCAAGTCTCTTCCCCCCTCCCCGTCCCTACCTTCCCTCCCCTCTCTCTTTGTCTCTCTCCCTCTCTCTAGTTGTGTCTTACTCACGCATCCCCTCTCTGTGGGCCCATATATATCACATAAGATATACACCGTGTTATAGGCCTATACATGTATGGTTTACACACACAGATAAGTGAAGTATAGTTGAGGAGACTTAATGTTATATTTTAGCTTAGCTAATGTATATTTATAGAGTTTTATTATGAACAGTAGAATAATTCACGTGAAATTCAAAATGAACGTTCACAGCGGTGGTAAAAGATGGCAGTGAAATTGAATGTCCTGTATGTATACTGTGACAGCTACCTCAAGCTAGGGAACTACTCAAGAATTTCAACTTTTAACTCCCTAATTCGGAACAGGAAATCCTCAAACCCGGAACGGCGAACAAACAGAGGAGCTTCCGCTGACAGTGACTGCAAATCGGAGGAGCGTCCGGTCCAAATGTCAGTGACCAAAACAACAGGCCACGTCGCGAACGATAAACGTTTGCAAAAGTTCCCAGAAACGTGTTTGATTTATTTTGATTTATTTCAGTAAGGGTTTACGGCGCTCGCAACTACTGCATAAGGTCATATTGTGCGTGCCAAGGGGTGGATGTCAACACTAGCCTCAACAGCATAAAGTCTGCTTGGACTATCAAGGCATCCCGGAAATAGCAGTTCACAAGAGAGTGACAAACATACAAAAGTTAAGAAGTAGAGGAAACATGACGATAGTAAAGATGAGGAAAGAAAAAGCAGCCGTTCCCCCTCTGTAAAATATGTTTATGTAAATAAATAATGTAATAATTAGATAACATGAAGCCAGGATTAGCGTCTATACAAAAGAATTGTGTGAAGCAGCCCTGATAAAGTTTTGTGTAAAGGTAAAATTGAGGCTTCCCTTCTTAAACATAGGTTGGAATTGTCCTTTTTTTGTAGGCCTAAGTGTTTTACGGCGCTCACAACTGCACAAGGTCATATATACGCACGGGACGCACCAAACTTTTTCAGGGGGGGGGGGGGGGCAAAGAGGATGAGGCGGTGGGGGCAGAAAGTAGAGACGAAAACAGATGACAGAACATTGCTAGAGAGCAGGAAAGGATTTGAAAGAAGACAATTTTAATATTTTAGAGAAGGAAATTTTTCGGTCGTTAACAGCATTCGAACCCGGGACCTTTGCATGAGAGGCGAACACCTTAATCTCTAGACCACGAGAAATCCCTGGAATTGTCTTTTGCGCATTAAGTCATGGTTACCATCATGCTGGTTCTACAGAGACTGTATGCTAGACCCCAGGTGTGTGTGTGTGTGTGTGTGTGTGTGTGTGTGTATGTGTGTGTGTGTGTGTGTGTGTGTGTGTGTGTGTGTGTGTGTGTGTGTGTGAAAGGTCAAATACGTGCCGAATCGAAACCTCAATTGTTTAATGTGTCCAACACGCTCATATATGACCTTATGCAGTTGCGAGCGCCGTAAAACACTTACCAAAAGAACAAACAAAAAACCAAACAAAAAACCCTCAGTTATACCTTTGTCACAAATCTGCTTGCTTCCTTTCAGATGAGAATGTTGATTTGTTTGAAAGGGTAGTTTAAATGAGACAAGAGACAAGGAACTGGGTAGAAATGAGGCCACACACGAAAAACTTTCGAACAAGAGGAACTCCTTCTTTGTGGCGGCATAATTGAATAATGAATTGAGAATGAAAACAAATCCTGAATTCTTTTAATTCATAATACATGTATTAATAATTATTGTTTGTTCACCCGACAAAATAGTCCAGAAAGTTGTCTCATTAAAATTTAATAATTTTATTCCACTTTGGGAAAAACGTTTATAACTTTTAAATGCACGGCACGGTGGGAATAATAGTCTCAAGATTTTTCAAAAGTAAACTTAGTTTTAGTTTTAGTTTTAGTTTTAGTAGAGGTTTTACGGCGCTCGCAACTGCCTAGGGTCATATTTGAGCGCCAGAAGATTAGAGGTGTTACAAGAGAGTAACTAACATAAAAAAGAAGGAGGGAGGATAAGGACGATAGATGTTTGATAGGAAAGAAGAAGCAAACCACACCAGAACACCCGCCAACCACCCACACAGTAAACTTAAATAAAGATATGAGCTCATAAAAAGGAGACAAAGATGCAGATATGGCAATACTACTAATTATGTATTAGCAATTTGGTTTCAAATTTGGCTTCCTTTATCTGGATTAGCTTTTCGTGGCCAGGAAATCACAAACGTGACCTGACTTCAATATAGATGTAGGAAGTGTATACTCTAGGGTAATAAATAGTATTCCTATATCTATGGACTTCAAGGATCTTACCAAAGATTCTCTACTACATGTACTACCAAGACGTTTCAATTGCCCTATAATTGGGCGCGACCTTTTGTTAGTGCGTGGCAGCCCGTGATACGAGTGTGAACAAACGTTCCAGTGTTCTTGAGCTGAAAGTGTGTAATTTTGACTGGGAACAATGTGTGTGTGTGTGTGTATGTATGTGTGTGTGTGTGTGTGTTTGTGTGTGTTTGTGTGTGTGTCTGGTGTGTGTGTGTGTGTGTATGTGTGTGTGTGTGTGTGTGTGTGTGTGTGTGAGAAAGAGAGAAAGAGAGAGAGAGAGAGAGAGAGAGAGAGAGAGAGAGAGAGAGAGAGAGAGAGAGAGAGAAGGAGAGAGACAGAGGAAGATATATCATATATATATTATAATAAGAACTGTTATTTTTCCCTCTGCGTCGGTTCACAGGCTGACCTGGTGCAATGCAGTCATTATTGTACACAAATGGCCAGTTCCATCTTCTGAATCCTACCTTCTGTATCCCATCTCTTACCCCTTGTTTTTCATGTATCTTATCCAATTTTCCATATCCATATCCCGCCTTTTATTCTGTTAGCGCGCTTTGTTTTCCATCATCTCATGGAACTGAACGCTTGAAGCAGGTCAAAATATTAAATATACATCACTGTCACCAATGTCCAAATCAGATATTATTATGCTGTTCAAGCACACGTTTTTCAACTGCTATTTTTATTCGGAATCAAGATTTGGTCTCCATGAGATTTCTTTGACGTATCCTCTTCGGAAGCGATTTTATTTTTACTTCCTTTAATTTTACAGTTCGGCCAGCATGACTACAGAGATCCATAATGTTATGATATCAGTTTGGTTAGATCATAGCGTTCAGAGTTAAACTTTCATTTCAGAAATGTAGCAATCTGACAAGACTGTATCGAAAACACTCTTTCGAGAGGGGTAATGTGACCCTCTTTACCCAGCTCCAGTTGTCGTATTTCAAGGACCCAGATGAAGGGGAAACAACTAGATCTAGTTGTTGTTTTATATCACTAAGAAGAGACAAGGACGGTTTGAATCGGCCAGACATTATTATAATTGATCGTAATACATGTATCAAGTCAAAAAGAAATTGTACAGCAAGACTGTGTGTTTCCACAATACGTTCACTGCAAGTTGGACAAAGAAATTTACTCTCATAACGACACAATACTATTATTCTGGTAATTCTGTAATTAATACGATGTCGACCAGTGACAACGAGCTAGACTAATTACGACACTATAACCATCGCTGCGATGTCAAATAAATGACGGGCAGCAAACTACCAGAGTTCGATAGGTGAACATCTTGCCGCTTGAAATCATTAAATGATTTTCCCCGATTTGGTTTGTTAATTTTCAGTTGTTGTTTTTTTCTTCCTTTTCATCCACAGCAACTCCCCTCTCCAAAGGTTTTGTTCTATTTATTTCCTTTTGAGTTCTTTGTTGTTGTTAATTTGTGTTATCTTTAATAAACGATTTCAAGAATTCTCGTTCCCTAAATTTACTTTATACCATTCTGTCTCCTCTTCTCCTCCCCCCAAAGAGCTGTGCGCGCGCACACACACACACACACACACACACACACATACACATACATACATACATACATACATACAGCAGTCGGCGATGAAACCAACTTCTAGTCTCCTATTATAATTGACGGAGCCCATCACGCGCTAAGTAAGTAACACAGCGGGCCCGCTACGGCGTGGGACAAAATCCCAAAGAAGGATTGCAATAAGCCCTTGGCTGTCTTGGTACATTGTTCAGAATCTTTGACCTTACTGTATTGTAACCTCCTTGCCTGGTGTTAGCAGGGTTAAAAAGTCGAGGGAAAAAAAAATGCAGTCGCAGCAGCCATAAAAGATTATTAGGAGTTATAGTCCCCCTCAGGCTTCTGAGATAGACTCCACCAACCCATTGTTAGCTTTACATCATGAGTGCTTCTGACTGCTTATTATATAAATATAAAAGTGACCCGAAAGGGGTGGACAGGGTGTTCTCATACAATGAAACACTTTTGAGTATTGTGCTCAGGGCCCAAAATTGAGATTATTTGAATATATAAGGCCTGTGTCTATGGACTTATTTGACGACGACTATGTTCCCAAATCACTTAAAGGGAATCAGTTATTATAATTTGATTACTTACACGCTTCGCCACTGCTTCCTTTAGAATAATTATTACTTTCAAAGGAAAAGACTAAACCAAAAACGCCTTGCTGTCGGAAACTGGTCAAAGGCCAACGACCTCCCATTGCTGACATCAGTTTCTGTATAACAGGCTGAGATCGCTATAAAACAAGCAGTCATTTCGTAGCCTTCAGAATAAATACGGTACTTTGCGAGACGGCGCGTCTACTATAACTCTCACGGAGGGTTGAAACCTCGTCGAAGGTAGGTCTGAATACTATTTTGTTTGTTTGTTTGTTCGTTTTTTTCTTATACTACTTAGATCTAGATTTATTAGATCTAGATCTAATTAGTTGTAAAATAGACAATTGCAAGATAAGATAATACTTTATTTTCCCTGTGGGATTTTTTGTGTGGCTTTATAGATTCTAGTAATGGTGAAAAACGTCATGTAAATATACACACACATATATATA